ATATTCTGTATATGTGGAAAGCTGACTTATTTCTAATTAATCTTTAGGTCTTTAAGAGTGACCGTCCTGAGCCTGTGTTTGGAATCTGCAAAGGGAATGAAATTGCAGCTTTGGCAGCTGGCGGCAAGACATACAAGCTGCCCATGGCCAACAGGTAGGAAGTTTCCAGAGGTGATTTCAGCTAATTACCAACTGTCACTTCCATATTATGAGTACATCTATATTGTGTCTTTGTATACTTTTTATGAAAAATTATAAATATAGTTACAGTAACTATTAGTATTACCACATTGCTAAATGATTTGTTCAGTCGGGGACAAGTAGTAATGTTGCAGCACCTGTCCAGGGGAGTTTCCCTGGTTATATATTGGCTAGAAATTGTGTTTCAGTTCTTTGTCTGCCACCTGCCCTGATCTTCCTACTCAATTGTCCACCTATGACTGTCTGTGGCCTTCACCTCTAGTCTGAACTTGATTAGTACACTGTGTAAACATATAATATTTAACTTGGTCCTGTCTGATTGTTGGTGGTCTTCAGCAGGACAATTTAAAGGACCTGAAATTTGTGATTTAGCCACCAGATCCTTTCAGAACTTCAGTGCTACCCTGCTGGTCATAGAGAAGATCCATCTAAGTCTATGGCAATAATAGTTTGCAACCTCCACCTCCATGCAAATTGTTTTCAGAATTGATTTACCTTTTAATTTCTGTTCAAGTACTCATGTACTAGAGGTTCTGATTGCAAAAAAATCGATCTTTCTTCAGGTTTGCATAAGAATCAGGTGTACAATTACTTTTTAAACACTTTGACTAAAAACTTTAGATGCAAAAACAATTCTTGGCAGCCCAGTTTCAAAAAGTGTGTTCTCTGGTTCCTGGCCGGGCTGTCAGAGACTACTTTTTGCTTTCTAAGGTCACTTTTGCCTGCTTGCAAAGACTGATATTGAATCCGATCCCATGAAGGAGGTGCATTGGGTCCTCTATACATTAGCAGAGGCCATCCCTGAAGTACTTTGACTAAGTGATTTATTATTTAAAACATTTTAAACAAATTAGAGATTGCCAAAAATTTGCTTTTATACTTGCTATGAGAAGCAGTGGGAATAAACTGCATACCTGTACAGATGTCGAAGGTGGCACCATAATAAAAACTTACCTTTGTACATCATGAAGGTTTAAATTAGTAACATGAAAAAGCATGAAGTATATATTTACTCCATATATAGTCTTCCACATACCTGCATGACTAGTCCCTGTAACATTATACCATTTTTTTCTTTATAGAGGGCAGAACCAACCTGTTATGAACACATGAATGGACAAGCTTTCATTACTGCTCAGAACCATGCCTATGCAGTGGATAGCAATTCCCTACCTGCAGGCTGGAACCACTTTTTGTAAACATCAATGACCAGAGCAATGAGGTGACTTCAGTTCCTGTATACATTCAATAAGAACAACATTTCCTTCATCTATTTTCTTTATGCATGAGACCAAACCAATCTTCACTTCGCAATTCCACCCTGAGGCCAACCCTGGGCCTGTTGATGAGGTACAGTACACAATGTACACGGAAGCATTAGATATGGCCATAATAAGATTACTCTTGCTGGGAATAGCCACCAGGATTACTGTTTTCTCTGCAAACCTAATACATCAGTGCTATTGTTAGATCATACATTGAACTACTTTCTACTTCATTTTAGTTCCTATTTGATGTCTACATGTCATAATAAACAAGGGGTAAAGGCACCACCCTGGCATCAATGCCCAAACCTGCAGGTTGGAAACCAGTCTAAACATCATTGATGTAAGTAAACTTGTTGAATGGGTGGTACATATGCTGGATTAGTAATATATCAGAGTAGACAAATATTAGTTAATTAATGCTGGTTGGAAAATATACTTACAGAATACCAGCAACAGTGTTTGTGACAAAATTATTCAACCCCCACTGAAATTGAACATACATTGCTTTTGATCATCAGTCATCTTTCTTACCATTAAAGAGGCACTTGTATGGTCAGGGTTATAATGAAATAACCACAAATGTCTTTTCTGTGCTCACAGCATTATCAGTTTTATTCAACCCCAAGTGACATTCAATCTTAGTACTTTAGTACACCATCCTTTTACAGTTATAACAGCTTTTAAACAGCTTCAGCTTGACACAAGTGTCTTGCAGCGATCAATTCTTCATGGGCAAAGGCCTCCAGTTCAGTCACATTCAAAGGCTTGCAAACTGCTTTCTTTAAGTCTTCGCAATCGGATTTAAGTCTGGTGACTGCGAGGCCACTCCAAAATGTTCCAGCCTTTCCTGGGCTCTAGTGGACTTGGAGGTATGCTTGGGACAGAGGTACAGTACATCAATGTACACGGAAGCATTAGATATGGCCATAATTCAGATTGCACACGCTCTTGTACTTGCAGAAGCCACCCACCAGGTAGCATTTGTTTTTTCATCATGTTTTCTTCCTCCTCCAAACATAGCGTTGATCCATGGGCCCAAACATCAGTGTCACAGAACACTTCCCACAACTTTTGTGTTTTTGTCCACATGGCTTTTGGGCATACTGCAGTACATTGGAGACTACTACGCCTAGTTCTGGCACGGAGGCCTTCATTACGCAGTGTCCTATTGTGAAACTTCTGTACCCACATGTCACTAAGTAAACTTCTCTACCAAGGCACAGCAGTCGAAAGGCACCACCCTTGCATCGAATGTAATGCCCAAACTTCTTATAGTTGACCACTGCAGTCTAAACCTGGACCATTCTCTTGCCTTCACCATGTTTGTAACCACACCAGTAAATGTGGGGTGACACAGTATGCCTAATTGGATTAGTAACATATATCAGAGTATGAACAAATATTAGTTAATTAATGCCTGGTTGTAAAATATACTTTGGGTACAGTCCTAACAACCAAATGTACACTATAGTCAGTAATTAAATCTGTCCCATGATAAGGAGTGATGATGTGCTATCTTGAAGGCACTGTGGCTTTATAAAACAAGTGCTGAGATTCTCTTAATTCTACTTCGACTGGCAAAATAGTAACAGAGGCTACAATATTTGCACAAGATGCAGAAATTCAATGCTGCACCAATGTTAGTGTCCTTGTCTAATAAATGTGTTGTATTCACAAACATGTATGGATTAAATAACATATCTTTGTTAATACAAATTATGAATGATCTTCACACTGTCATTTAAAGGGAAGCTATATTTTTTTTGGTCACTGTTATTTTACAAAGTTTTGAAGTTTATATGAATTTAATCTGTTTTATATCTTTTTTTTCCCTCTACATATTTACAATCTTTGTTATATAAATATACCTTTAATAAAAAGGACACTCAAGACACCTAGCAGTATAGCTTTTCTAAAGAGAGCACACAAAAGCTGTTTTCTTTAAGACACTATCTATGGAATTCAGTTAAGCATGAACAACACTTTTCTGGTGGTAAGGCCCTTTAAAGTGGCCTGCACCAGATTTAAAAAAATTTCTGTCACCAGTTTTGGTACTTTACCAATCTGTACTGCAGATTCAAGTCGTTCATAATAGTGTCACTTTGACAGATAGCACTATTCCTGCACCAAATAAAAAAAAAAATTATCTCCAGTTCATAGACAATGAAACTGGAGATAATGAAGACCAGCTTAGCATGTTTGCCACTGCTAAGCCCTCCCCACCTGTCACCAGTTGTTAAGGACACTGTTGGCTTTACAGACAAAAGCCTCCTAGCAAGCAGTGAAGCTGACAATGGATGGAGCCTGCTGTGGAAACTGAGACACTAGTTTCCCATTAGGTTCACTCTCTCCTTGTGATTGTCAGAAGGGACTCGATGCATTTTATAGCCAATAGCAGCCTGTCTATTGGCTATGGATCTGCTCACTGCCTGCTGTCAATCACAAGGGGAGCAAACCTAATGGGGAACTAGTGCCTCTGAATACCTGTTGGGCTCGGCTCACTCAGCTCTGCGACATCTGCAGTGGTGGGAGGTAGTCAGTTCACTGAGATAGTCCATATTAGCCTCTCTATGCCTCCTCAAATGGTGCTTGCCACAAATTTATGTCCCTGTTTCCAACAGATACATGAATCTGTCCCCCACACTGACATTTGATGCGTGGAGACACAACAGAATTCTAAAGAGTGTCATAGATACTATTTATGAATTCCCCTGTCTGTCTCTGGTTAAAACTTCCGTATAGAGCATGGAAGGAAGCAAGTTATTGTTTTATTGTTAGATATTTCAACATGAGCTATTCAATCAAAAACTCAAAACTTTTTTTTTTTTTTTTAACAAAGTATATAAGGAAAGGTGATAGCTCCATATGCTGCATACATATGGAAATATAAAGAGGTATATGAAAACACGTTTATTTATGGTAGGATAACAAATGTCTGTGCTTTTTACTATTGTCTATAACCTGTGCTGATTGGTGAGTATATTGTTCCAACAAATTTTGAAGTCTCCTGCTATTAACGATGTCATTGTTTTACTTGAGGTATTGGTCAAAAACAGAAAAAATAGGATGCCTGCAAAGCTAAAAGTTTGGACAGCCAATGTGATACTCATTAAAATAAACAAAAATGTTTTTTTTTTTTTAAATTAGTATTTGAAGTATTGATATGAGCTACTTATTTATAGTAGCTGAAATAATATACTTAGCCTTGTTAAGCCTTGTGTCTGCTTCAACAGAAAGACAGCAGGGTACACCAGGGAGGTGCAGGGGAGGAAATATAGAGGCATGGTCATCACAATGTAAGATCTTCGTTGGTAGGAAATGTGTTTCTTGTTATGCTAGCCTAAATTATTTTAAGTATTTCCAATGTCCTTCTGTCTATTTTTCTATTTTAAACTATTATATCTTAATACCATGTTGTTCATCAAATCGTTTACTATCTAGGTATCAAAAGTCCTCATCCTGGGCTCTGGAGGTCTCTCTATTGGACAGGCAGGGGAGTTTGATTATTCAGGATCACAGGCAGTTAAAGCTATGAAAGTAAGTGTGTTTTTATTGTATATAATTATATACAGTGATTATAGGAAATTCAGACTTTGGATATGAATAGAAAAATAGAAATATATTGTTCTAAAGCATCATCGGTGTTAATAAATCTGTACAAGTCATATCTTCTGGAGAAAAAAGTAGGGCAGATGGTTGCTTACTTCCACACCTTCAATAATGCTTGTTAGGGTATAGAGTTACCTGAAGGTAGTCTAAGCAGAGGAAATCTAAGATTGCTGTCTAATATAATGCGGTAAAACCAACAATGTAGTATACTCCTAAGCAGTGTCATAATGTAATAATGGTAGAACTTGCAGCTGCCCAGGTCTTCAGACTGCAGGGGAACCCATGGAATTCAAAAATGTTTGGCACATCAGTTCCCTTCATGCTAAGTCAATTTCAGCTTTGCAAGTCTTTAGCCTTTTTTTGAAAAGCAATGGCAGCCTTTGTATTTCTCCCAATAAAGGTTTTAGGATTATAAAATATATGTCGTTATATTAGAAGCCAAATACAATGAGCAAACTGGGCAGCCATAGGAGGGCAAAGTGGGGATGTCCATCGAAAAGAGAAATAGTAAAATAAAAATGTCAACAATCTTACTGAAAGATTAACAGCACATTTAAGTAAACTGAAACTACTACTACTTAAACTATTAAACTTCTTATAGATACAGCTCTTACACTGTATTATATGATATGGATCTGGTCTGATAGAATCTTTTTGGTTGCCAGAGAATAAAAATGATAAATAACACACATTATTCTACACATGGATATATTATTAAAGACGAGTCAATTTGAATTTAATTGTTTTATTGTTGCATGTCTTATGAAAATTTTTCCCCGTAGGAAGAAAATGTGAAAACGGTTCTTATGAACCCCAACATTGCCTCTGTCCAGACTAATGAGGTGGGCATCAAGCAAGCTGACACAGTCTACTTCCTACCTATCACACCACAGTTTGTCACTGAAGTCATTAAGACAGAAAGACCTGACGGAATTATCCTGGGAATGGGTGGACAGACAGCTCTGAATTGCGGTGAGTACAGCCTAAAACTTGTCATACACGGTTAGAATTGAAGTAGAAAATGTTCATTTTCAAAGCCTTTTATTTTCTAATGGTTGAGATAAACTGACAATTGTTTTCAATCATAGCGACAATAAAAATCTAAGGCAATGATGGAAAAATGTACTTGTGTCTTATCTGAACAAACAATTATCTAACTGTCAAAACACAGATGCTAGTAAAAGTTTAACCCAGAGTTTGAACTTTGGCGGTCACAAATATTCATTCTTTTAAATGATTATGTAAGGTATAGTAGTGTATGTATGTAAACTGTGAATATACTGTATATAACATAGCCACCAATTTCATAAGCAATAAAAGAAACCTGTTGAATACATCTGGAAGTCCATTCAAATTGCAGTTCTGGATGAAATTTTAAGGGCTTTCAAACAAAATTAGTTGACTCGATGATGGCATTATTGAATGCCCTGTTTAATGTCTTACAGAATTTTGAGCAAAAGTCTAACAAAGTATGACTAGTTTAAGATCCACTCATGGTATATTTTTATCAACAATTTCTTATGCATTTTGTAAAAGCCTAAGTGCAACTTTGTGGCAAAAATAAGTATGTGCTAGGCTATACTGCTTCACATTTTATGGTATCGTGTATATCTTTAGTGCCAGGGCCATAAAGGGTTGACATCTAAAGAGCCTTGGTCTCAATGCAGTCTGAGAAAGCATAGATAAACAGAGAACAAAACCAGTTCCAGGAAGGTTACACAAGAAAGGCATCCCCCTGTCTGAGTTAAACTATGCCCAGCATATTCCTTGAACACATGTGATCCCACTTTACCAACTAGTACTGCATAGTTACAGGGATCAAAAGATGCCCTCATTGATATAACTACCCTCTCCATCCTAAGTGCGGAAGAGAGGAGGTAGAAGTATGTCAAAAAATATTAAAGGATTACTTAATCTTTAAATTTGGTTAATCTCTGCTAGGTATGATGTTTTAGGACCTGTTACCAAACCCCCCCCCCCAAAAAACACAAAATAAAAAAATGTTATTCTACAGAAAATATCTGTGGATTTGCAATAGACAAACTCTTCTTTGTATTTAATTTTCCTTTTATCTGTGGCAGGTGTGGAACTTTTCAAACGAGGTGTACTCAAGGAATATGGAGTACGGGTTTTGGGCACCTCAGTGGAGTCCATCATGTTTACAGAAGACAGACAGCTCTTCTCTGACAAACTAAATGAAATCAAGGAACCTATTGCCCCCAGTTTTGCCGTGGAATCGGTAAGGCTGAATTTTGTGGAATGGAAAAAAATGATGTGAATAACTGTACATAATATCTCACCAAGAAGAATGCTGCTTTATTTATTATACCAACCAATGAAAATGAGTTGGTTTTAAAGCTAAACTCCAGCCTTACCTTCAGTCTTGCACAGTTGTACAAGCTCCTTTCTTGTACTGAAAATGCTTACACTGATTTCATTTGACCAAGTGAGCTTCTCACAATGTGCATGAGAAACTGCAGCAAGATAGATACAGCCTGCCTCATTTCATGGCAGTAGGACTTTCAGTGTCATGCAGCTCTTTTCTCCCCATATTGCATGCCCCTTTTCTGCCCTTCATGGAGGTTCATCATCACATGATGGGTGTTCCCTACGGTGCTATGCCTGCCAATACAGTCTTCCAAGGAACAGCCACTCCTCTGGACTAATATCGATCAAGGCATTTTAATATTTGCATAACTCCTCCCAACAGCCAGCCCACTGCTTGCATCAGGGCCGATGTTTTCAGGCAGTCATGTCATGCCAGCGCCTCTAATTAGCCATAATAATCTGTTTGCATTGCACAAAGAAGCTTTAAATCTGTGGGTTTGATTCTGCTTTTATATTTAACAGTAATTTTCTAATTTCATGAAACTAGAGTTGAAAATAACTGTCATTTTACCCACATTGCTCTTTATCCTGGTGTGCTAGCTTTGTAAATTGAGCCTTAAACTGGTACTAAAGTCAAAAATACTTACCTCTTTTCCAACGGTCTGACGTCAGCAAGGTCCCTTGCTGGCATCTTCTTCCTAGCCTCTTCTGGGTACTGGTCTTCAGCTGTTTTTATTGACTGGTGCATGCACAGGAGTGCAGTCATGCTAGAACACGGGCACTGTGCCAGAATGTAAAGTGATCTGCACATGCCCAGTGCAGAGTGCATTCTACAGGGGATTGCGGACAGGCAGGTAAGTGTATTTTATTGCAGAAGAGATATTGCACATGTCTTCTGCAATAAAGAGCCTGCTTGCTTGCAATTATATTTCAACTTTAGTTCTGTTTTAAGCTTTTAAAGACTAATGTACAGAGTGATAGGAGCAGTGAGAGCATTAAAGTAAAATCAGATGTTTACTTACCTTTGCAGCACTAGTGTTAACATTCTATCATATTGAGAAACTGCTCCAGCATTCTGATTACTTCATAATAAACATTGTAAGATGTATAGTTAACTTACTCTCTAGTTTCCTGGTCTCCTCCTCCCATGCCCATCTCCAGGAACTTATCCAGGGCTTCCCCCATCCTCTGGAACTCCCTACCCCAATCCATCAGACTATCACCTATCCTCCTCTCCTTTAGGCGCACCCTGAAAACCCATCTCTTCAGGGAAGCCTACCCCACCCTCAGCTAATTGCTGATCTCCTCCACTCTTCCTACCATTCCATCCCCCACAGCTATTTCCTCCTATACCACTATTCCCTCCCTCCTAGATTGTAAGCTCTAAAGAGCAAGGCCCTCGAACCCCTCGTGTATCGAATTGTATTGTTACTGTACTGTCTTGTGTACTGTCTCCCATTGTAATGTACAGCGCTGAGCAAACTGTTGGCGCTATATAAATACTGTATAATAATAATAATACATGGATGGTTCAAACTCTGTGGCTGCAAAGTTTACAATCATTTTATGCAAAGCTTGCCCTATCTCCCTTTAACCTCCCTGGCGGTATTCCCGAGTGTAGCTCGGGGTAACATTTCAGTACCAAGAGCGGTAACCCCGAGCTACAGTCGGGAATACCATGCGGCGCTGCTCCGGCATGTGTTCTTCACTTACCTTACCCTGCGCTCCCACGATGTGTCCCCTGCAGCGTCCCCGGCCATCTCCTCTGGCCGATGCCGGCATCCGGCTTCTGTGTCCTGTCCCTGTGACGTCGGGACGTACGGGCGCCGCCGCCGGCGGCGGGAAATGTAAAAATTTTAAAAAATGTCATTTTTTTTTTTTACATTTTACATAGTAAAACATTGCTGTCTCAACCAATTTCACATACATTTTGTCCCTAGTGCTGTGTTCTGTGCCCTGCCTGCATTTTGTCTGTTCTTTCTGCCTGGAAACTGAGAAACATCCATGGCGTCCAAAAAGTGTCCCTTTAGGTCAAAAGCGGTTTAGATCAGCTAGAGAACAGCGATAGTAAATCAGAACCACTTGCAGAATTGAGTGATAATGATTTGTGGGGAAATTCGTCATCAGACACTGAAAACGATTTTGCGACTTTGCTCAGCAATGTGTGAACTTATTGTGGGGCTATATTTCAAATTTCAGTGTTTTTGGTTTGATTATATTATTGAATTAAATGTATTATTATTATTATTATTATTTTTTTTGTGATTATTTATTAAATTATAATTTATGATTTCGTGTTTCAAATTTTATCCTACCCGGGATGTTTACTAGACTTTTGTTCGGACAGATTTCAGTGAGTTATTCCTAAAAATTACAGGCCTACAATAAAAAAACTACATATTTCCATGCAAAAAAATGGTACCGCTTTCAGCACCAAAAATCGGAAAGAATCATACCGCCAGGGAGGTTAAGCATCATAAAATAACAGTTGAGAGTGAAGGTATTGATCGAACTGGAGTGAAAGAAAATATTACAAATATTAAATACTTAGGCAGGCCATACATAATTAATTTTCTTTTTTGTTTACCCAGTGGGTTGAACAAAATAAAATTCATTGATTCCCCCATCCACTGTGCTATTGTATTCTGACTTCAGGAAGCTTCCCTGCCATCAGAATATAATCATGAGCACTGATCGAGCGAACATTTTCCAACAGGCTGATGGTAGAGAAGTTGATCAAGAGATCGACTTCTGTACCACAAGCCTGCCCACAGATGAATTGAAATTCAGCTGAATTGTGATCCATTTATGGGTAGGTTTAGCTTAATTTTTAAAACCTAATGTTAAAAATGTGCATTTTTCATTGTTTCCTGTTTTCCTGTTGCAGATTTTCCCTTACTCCCTGTCTGGTAAAAGTTGTCCCCAGTACAGGAAGTCAGGAAAAATCTTTATCCAAAGCTAAAAAAAACTTTTCAAGATAGATGCACTTTAAAGTGATTTTTTTCTTAAAATAATAGACATGTCATGATTACCAGCTCTGTGCCATGGTTTTGCACAGAGCAACTCTAAACCTTCTCTTCTGGGGTACCACACTAGAGCTCTTCAGCAAGTACCCCCATAGGAAACTGCTTCCAATGGGGGTAATCATGCAGGCTTGATCCTGAGACAGGCTGTGGGCATCCATAGACACAGACAGCACAGCTTGGCCCCACCCCTGTTCCCTTATCATGGGGTTGGATTGACAGCAGTAGGAGCCAATGGCTCCCGCTTCTGTCTCTCTGTCCTGTTACGAGCAGAGAGAGTAGCTGCTCAAAGGCACAGCGCTGGATTGAAATTGGGCTCAGGTAAGTATATAGGGGGCTGGGGTTACAGACGTTTTTTTTTATCTTAATGCAGATAATGCATTAATGTAAAAACCCTTAAGCCTTTAGAACCACTTTAACTATTTAAATGGTAGCAAAATAATACATTTTACAATGAAGATGTAATTGGTCATTAATAAAAAAAAATCAGAAAGTGACATTTATTCTGCTCTTTGCTACAAGGTAAAACAAATGTATTATGAGTATATGGCTGTTAGGTAACAGTTATTTAAACATTTTCCTCATTATTTTAACTGCCCTATCTGTCTGACCTTACATATATTGTAATAAAGCTCTTTTTTCGTAGGTGAAAGATGCTTTGGAAGCAGCTGATAAAATTGGCTATCCTGTCATGATTCGATCTGCCTATGCCTTAGGTGGTCTAGGGTCAGGTCTTTGTCCTGATAAGGAAACACTCACGGATCTGGCAACAAAGGTAAAAATGACTAAGCTTTTCAGAGCATGGGAAATTAACTGGCAAGTTCTCCATTCATGTCTCCTAAGCTACAATACATCTGAAGCACTTGTACTTAATGGACAAATGTACTGATGCTGAATACTGACACTCAAACTTAAAAAAACCAAACAAAAATGCAATAGGAAAAAGTATTTTCCATGGCTAGTAATTACTAAAATCTTCAACTGAAGTTAAATGTATGTATAGCCAATACTTTTATTTTTTTAAGTTGTGATTAAAATTGTGAAAGAATAAAACCCATATCGGTTTATTTTTATCCCCATCTGTATCCTACTGAGGAGATTTCCCTTCACTTTTGTCCCTGAAAACACAAGAGGACATGAAAACACAAGAGGACAGGGATAAAGACAAACAAAAAAAGTTTTCCCTTTACATCACTTCAAACAAGGAAATGTTTGGGACAGAAATATTGATTGAAAGCTTATTAATGCTTTTTAATTGCTCTCTTTAGACCAGTGTTTCTCAACTTTTTTTCAGTCAAGGTACCCTTTACAATTATGGACAGTCTTGAGGCCCCCTTTAAAATTATGGACAGTCTCGAGGCACCCCATTCTAAAATGTAAAAAAAAATTCTAATAATTTTATATAATGCAGCAACATCCACACACGTAGGACACCCAACATTAGAGGTGATTTATGCTTCCAAAGCAAATACAGTTTTGCACACTGGTACTGACTAGTATTCCAGTGTTTCTCTTATCCCTCAGTTTTTCTCCATCACTCAGCTAATGTGACCTCAGCATTGACAGCGAGGAGCAGGGAAAAAATAAGGATGCTGTGCAGGCAACCAACATCCTCCTTATCAACTGATGATGTCATTGGTTGTTAGGATGCCAGTGGCTAGTAGGTTGTAATGGTGCACAATGAAAACTTCTGGCTTTGTATATCTAAAAGGCAGGCTGGTTCCATTTGCTGGCTTGTATACAAATTTTGCGCAATTTTTAGACATTTTGCCAAAGCACCCCTGAAGAAACCTCAAGGCATCCCAGGTTGCCCGGGCACCCTGGTTGAAAAAGGCTGCTTTAGAATATGGACAACTTAAACTACGGCTTGCATTCAGTTGGGGTCAATTGCAATACATATATATATTATTTCTTCAATGTCTGGGTGACATATCCTATAATCTCAGCATTATTTTAATAAAAGTGGAAACAATCTTTTTTGGACACAGAGCCCTTAGAAGGAGGTAAAATAAGGCATAAACATATAAACCAAAAACCAAGTCAAACTTGCAAATCAAATTGAATTTCCCATAAAAAAAGATGTCTACCTAATTAATATCTAACTTCAATAACAAGAGATTGTATGTATTTATTGTGTTGGTGTGAGAATGAGTATAAAGTCTGCAGATCATCAAATATATTAGTCTAGGTATCTAAAAATGTAATATACCTCACATCCGGTAACATACACTATCATTGAAGAAGACAGACTGTTGTTTCATTATTTTCTATCCAACATTTATTTTAGGATTATAATAAAGTATGTAGAGCCAATCAAATGTTACATTCTATTTTCATCTTCTTCCTGCAATTCAATTTATGTAATAATTTTAGAGTTTACAAAATTTACACGTGATAGCTTTCAACTCTAACTATTTCATTTTTATTTTAAAGGCTCTGGCAATGACTAACCAGATCTTGGTGGAACGTTCAGTAGTGGGCTGGAAAGAGATTGAGTATGAGGTAGTCAGAGATGCAGCAGATAACTGTGTTACCGTCTGCAACATGGAAAATGTTGATGCTATGGGGGTCCATACAGGTAAACATTTGAGTTTCCCCATGTGAAGTTTTACATATATGTATGGTACTGAGAATAGAATGTATTTTATTTGAAACACAGTCCATAAGATTTACTGAAAGATGAAGATGAGAATCTCATAAACTATGCAAAAACTCTAAAATTGCTATAAAAGGAACCTGTCAGGGTAGGAATTTGGAACCTGCGACTGCTGAGAGTCGGAGGTCACATGATATCTGACAGTGACTGGCTAATCAAGTGTCTGACTTCTTGCACATTGCTTGATTCACTGAGGGAGTAAACATTTCTATTTTGCAAAGTGAACACATCTTCACTTTATTTGCTAAGTTAAGTGAATGTTTATTTTGCAAAGTGAACACGTTCTACTTGTTTAGTTAAACATCCTCCATGTTGCCCTTCCATTAAGTGTTCATTGTGTGAGGTCAGGCATTTGATATGCAGAAACTTTCCCGGACACCTCAGCTTAAGGGCATCATATATACTAATGGAGCAAAGGATTTTTCTCTTTGCAAAGTAAATGCTCCCTTAGCTTAATGAATAAGATGCAACACTGTTCACTCCAATTATCCCATCAAGTTCAAGCAAAAATCCTGTTTTCTTTGTAATACCCCTTGCATATAAATAGTGATATAAGGAACCCTCCAATTTTTCACATTGGTAGCACAGTGGTTATAATATTTAAAATATCCCTTGCATATATTTGAGCATTAAAACTGAACACAGCTTCACCTTATTTACTCAGGTAGTAAACATTTGAAAAATGAACATTCACAGCTTATTTAATAAATCACTCAAAAGTGTCAGATGTTGTCAAAGTAATTAAAGCTAAAAAAAAGGGGAAATATGTCATATATAAACCTGCAGTCATATTATCCAACCTGAAAATGCATTGTAACTAACTGTTTTAAATTTCGTTTGTAACCCTAAACTTAAAATAATCTTGTACATTTCAAACTTTCACTTTGCCTATCCAATTTGCTATTAAACCAACCCCCACAGGAAGGTGTACTCACTAATCCATGTTCCTTCACTGATCTTGTTCCATTCCTACTCTTTTGGAACCCCCCCATCTTGTGCCTTGATGGAGCAGGGTTTCTGGACTTCACACATACAGCAGTGGCTGTGTGTTAGGGAATTAGCATCCAATCTTCAGACCTGAGCACTGTCAAATGAGGAGAGGCAGTGACGTCATCCACCTAGGTAGGCTCCAACAAACTCTGACATTGAATCTTACTCAAGGTTGACTTCTGCAGCAGGGAGGCACAAAGAAAAGGGAGATGAATGAGGATACCTATCAATTGCTCTAAAAGTGTCTCACACTAACCTCTCAACCAATCTTGTAATCTGACTCATTCTTTAAACCTAAATCCTACATATAATGCATACAGTAGCCTTTCATCTCACAATTCTGAAAATATTATCCTGATTGTAAGACAAACTAAAATAGCAATGATTATTTATATTGAAATGAACTTTCTTTTTTAAATCTATGTTTACGTAAGGGAGGAAGCTACTAACTAACATACTTGTACAAAATGTGCAATCCCTAAATAAAAATATGCCTGTATTGTAGGTTCTTCTTTTGGCCTGGTGTACAATCTAGTAATCAATCAAGTTTATAAATGATATGGCTCATTTTCTAAGTATCTGAAATTGGAACTGTCTTTGTTACTCCACAACAACAAATTTCCCTTTCTCTTTCCAACTAATATTTTGGTTTCACAGTCAATTATTGTACAGACTTAATGAGGTATTCAATGTCTCACCTGGTGTTTTTACAGGACACACATAAGCTTGTCCATTTATAAAATGATATTTAACTGATGTCATTCTTTCTTTGATGAACAGGGGACTCCATAGTTGTTGCTCCTTGCCAGACTTTGTCCAATGAGGAGTGCCAGATGCTGAGAGCAGTCTCCATTAAAGTTGTACGACACTTGGGTATTGTTGGTGAATGCAATATACAGTTTGCTCTTCATCCAACCTCACTGGAATATGTCATCATTGAAGTCAATGCTCGACTTTCTCGTAGTTCAGCTTTGGCATCCAAAGCCACTGGGTAAGTTAACACTTGGGATTAAGATATAGATCAGCCTTTTTCAACCAGGGTGCCAAGGCACCCTGGGGTGTTTCTTCAGGGGTACTTTGGCAAAATGCATAAAAATTGCTCAATAACTGTATAAAAGCCAGCAGGTGCATCATGCCTGCCCTTTAATTACACAAAGCCACAGGTTTTCATTGTGCACCATTACAACTTTCTAGCTGCCGGCAACATTGGGTGTCCTACATGTACAGATGTTGCTGCATTCTGTAAAACTTTTCATTTAGTTTTCACATTTTGTTATGGGTGCCTCAAGATTGTGCAGAATTTTAAATTTTAATGGTGCCTTTACTGAAAATAGATTTGGAAATACTGATATAGATGATTTGAAGGCCTGAACTGCAGCACATATATGTTAAATATATGCATTTTTGCAGCTACCCCTCTGGCTTTCATCGCTGCCAAAATTGCCTTGGGAATTCCTCTACCAGAAATTAAGAATGTTGTGTCAGGAAAGACCACTGCCTGCTTTGAGCCAAGTCTAGATTACATGGTTACCAAGATACCTCGTTGGGATTTGGACCGTTTCCATGGTGCTTCAGGATTAATTGGCAGCTCAATGAAAAGTGTAGGAGAGGTAAGCAGTGAAAACTGTGAACTCTAACCCTTACAGGGTTACCCTTTTCTGTGCAGTTTTATTACTACCTTTTAATTACTACCTTTTGTAGGTCATGGCTATTGGTCGAACCTTTGAGGAAAGCTTTCAGAAAGCTTTGAGGATGTGCCACCCATCAGTAGATGGCTTCACATCAAACCTTCCAATGAACAAATCATGGCCAGCAGATGCCAACCTAAGGAAAGAGATGGCCGAACCCACCAGTACCCGTATGTACAGCATGGCCAAGGTAAAGATGAAAGTTTAATAGAGGGAAGTGAAAATGAGAGAAAACTTAAAAAAACAAACAAAAAAAGATACAAAAATAATATAAAAATACATGGAAGTGAAACAGACACATACTATACATTAATATCAAGGTAAATTGCATATTTGTAAGCTCGAAAGAGCAGGGCCCTCGATCCCCTCATGTTTTGCATTGTATTGTTATTGTTCTGTCACATGTTCTGTCCCCCTTTGTAATGTACAGCGCTGAGCGAACTATTGGCGCTTTATAAATACTGTATAATAATAATATTTCATATGTTGCCAAAACTAGTAGCAAGTATTATTATTTATAATAGGACATATATGAAAATATTGCATTTTACCTAAAAGTAATATTTTCTGTTTTATATCAGGCTATAGAAAGTGGAATTTCCTTAGATGAAATCAACAAACTGACAGCTATTGATAAGTGGTTCCTGTACAAGATGCAAGGAATCCTCAACATGGAGAAGACCCTGAAAGGAAGCAGAAGGTAAAGTACATAATACTGTAAAAGAATGTACTACCTGGGCATTGTAGCTTTTATATTTTCATTCTGATGTTTATTATTACTCTTTTTGGATCACAATTTATGAGAATCATACAATGCTTCTATACAGTCAGTATTAGTGATAAAATGACTGCAGACACACAATGGTGTCATCATACAACTTTGGCAGTGCATTGCTGCGTGTTCCAGGACGTGTGGAAGCTTCTAGGAGTCAAATCGTAGCAGACTTATCAAAGACCCTATGCAAGGATAGAAAAAATTTCAAGGTCATAGTGGGAGTAATAACTTAGGCCACTAAATAGGGACCCATTAATCACATAACCACATCTTTACCAAATTATCATTCATCTATAATGCATGAAAAAGATAAAATTATTAATAGTATTAGTAATCTTGTATACCTAATTCTAAAGAGGCAACACAAAAAAATGGAAGATCATAAGGCACTATTTAGCTTAAAACAGAAATAGCAGAAAGGAATCAAAGACACCTAAAATTGTACAGTTTATTTGAAAACCATTATTTCCTGGGACAGATCTGCTTTTAATATAATCAGCGGCTTCTATTTTGAAGGTACTGATTAAGAGTCATTAATGGTAATGGTAATACTTTAGATGATTTAAAGAGAAATTTAGATCTATTTGAAAAGCAGGGATTTGTCTTTAAATAAGTGTTGTTGAAGTTGTTAACAATATCCAATGAGCACTCTTACCTAGTTTCTTTGGAATAAGATAGCAACTAATGTGCAAGTCCAGTGCTAACACTCTCCTGAACAGTGTATCTGACTGTGTATACATGCATAAAGCCTGGTACACACAGACATTTTTTTTCGTTCAACCCAGATTGCTGAATTAGAAAAAAAAAACTGAGGAGCTCCCTGTATTGAAACAATGAAAAAAGCTAATAGTCAACATGTTTTCTGGGGGTTCAGATACCCGTTCATCAAGGTTTACATTTTACGTGACCTAAAAATTACTGGACTTGACTCACAAGACATCTTATCAGTCGGCTATACAGTATGTGTTGCCTGTCAGCATATCTGCTACTAAGAAACACTTTAACCAGACTGATAAGTCCAGTCATTGTGAGGTCACATAATACATTCTGTTTTAGGGGGAGAGTCTGAACCCTCAAAACGCACTGGATTTTTTTTTTCAGTCTTCAATTCGGTTATTTAATTCAAAACCATTATGGACTCTAAAACCACCAGTGTGGTGCTTTTGCTGCGTCTGACATATTTTAACATTGGAATCTTATCAGATAAGAAAAGGTTGATTAACCAAAGGAGTAGAAGATATTCACGTCAATCAATAAAATCAATATTCATTTTGAAAAGTAACAATAGTTAAAAAGATGAACCTGTCATGTGTGAAGGAAAAAAATGGATGTTTTCTGGACTATGATTGGTTTATTGAAGTGAACACACCTGTCATTTTATTTACGAAGCTCAGTTAACATTCGCTTTGGTAGGTGATCTGATTCTGTTTCTTTAAGCTGGCCAAACACTTTTCAGCTGTTTTTGTTCACCTTGAAGTCTACAGAGCACGAATGGACAAATCTCCTACTGTAGTTATTGTTTTTTGGACAGCCAGCTCTAATGGCTGTACAGATCCCTGAACAGTGCCTGCATGTGATTGGATGCAGGTGCTGTTCATCCCAGCTCATTTTCTGCCCAGCATATTTGATTTTTCAATGGATGTCAGTTTGTGGTTCACCCACTGAATGACCTTCAGTGGGTGACCAATCACAGCTCACTCAGTATTTCTTAATGGCTGCAAGAATGCAGTCAGAGAGAAGGAAAAATGATTGCTTTTACAGCCTTTATGGGTGTAAAAGCAATCAGTGTCATCAGAAACTGTTCAAAATGTGCTCTGTGTAAGGTCAGCTTAAGTCAATCAACCTTAGAGAGTAGAATTCTTCTTTAACCACTTCCCGTCCAGCCCATGTATATAAACGGCCAGACGGGAGCAATGCAGGGGTGGGTGGCCATTTATGAATGTCCTCCCAGCTTCCCTGCTTGTGAGCGCTCCCTGGGAGCTGCCAGCATGCGATCCGGTGCCTGCTGTGTCCACCGATCGTTGTAAGGGACCTCTGTGTGAGGTCCCGATTATGTGATCACTGATTAGCCAATCAGTGATCACATGAATAGTAGTAAGCAAGATGTCACTTCCTGACATCATTGCTTACTACGTGTGAAATCTGTGAATGATCACAGAGGTCACATGGTACAAGGCTATTCACAACAGCCTTGTACCATGTGACAAGCTGTGACCAATCACAGCTCACTCAGTATTTCTTAATGGCTGCAAGAATGCAGCCAGAGAGAAGGAAAAACGATTGCTTTTACAGCCTTTATGGGTGTAAAAGCAATCAGTGTAAAAAAACAAAAACAAAAAAAAATCTTCATCATCCCCCACAAGTATGTACAGTGTCACTATGGTGACACTGTACTGCTAGGGTGACAGTATGTTAAAAAACATAAATAATAATATTAAATAAAATAAAAATGTAAAAAAAAATGTGAAAAATTATAATTTTTGGTTATAAACTAATTTTTTTTTTTTTTTTTTTTTTTTATTTTTACTAAAAAGATAACTGAATAAATTTTGGCCAAGATTTATGAAGAAAGATTATTTATTTGCAAAATTTTATAAGAAAAACACTTTTTTTCCAAATTGTTGGACTTTTTCATTTATATAGCAAAAAAAATTCCAGTGGTGAATAAATACCACTAAAATAAAGTTTTATCTGTCTAAAAAAAAATGCGAAAAATTCATATAGGTACAGTGTTGCATGACCGCGCAATTGTCATTCAAAGTGTGAGAGCACTGAAAGCTGAAAATTGGCCTGGATAGAAAGGGGGTGAAAGTGTCTGAACTTGAAGTGGTTAAGAAAAGGTGTTATTCAGTCCAAAACAATCTACTGCTTAAATGATACCATCAGCACACGATAAATGAGCATTTTCAATAAAGGCAACACAACACTACTGAAAAAAATAAGGCACACCTCAAATAGCCTAATGCTGTTGAAAACACTTTTCCTTTATTTGGTAGTAGTGATCTCCCATTCCTATGCAAGCAGATGTATGAACAGGTGGCGGAGATGGTAGAGTTGTGGGTAGTGGACAACACCGCCTCCTCTGATTTACTGCAAGAGTACAAATAATTCACTTAACCTCATCAGTACTTGGCAAGCTGGAAGATTAATATTCGCCAGACAGATAAACATAAGATAAGCAGACATTGCAGCCATCTACTTGCCTGAGTTGTTGGATGCCCAGTAATGTGCATAGCATTTTGATACATTTCATTACATCAACATGAAAAGCACTCATAAGTATCATAGGGCAGACAAATGCAGCATCTGCTTTCCAGAGCTACAGTATGAGCAGCATGTTAAATATCGCGTACTCTTGTCCAATAAAATTACGTATTTAAAGAGCGTGTTTACAATTTTGCTGCAAGCTTCAGAATAGTTATTGCTAATGTTTATGCATAACACTTCAGCTTATTCTGCTGTATGTTAGAATATATCAGTTTTGGCAGAAGGGCAGCAGAAATGAGCAGAGCACACAAATTATGTAACTGAGCTTCCCATTTTATAAGCATCTATAATTTAGGGCTAGAAGAGATGAAATTGCTAAGGAAAAGCATGTTTATTTTTTTGCTTTATTTTATTACAAGTAGAGTCCACACATATTTTATCCTTCAATTGATCACAGAATGACTTGCAGTGTATTGCTACACATTTATTCTGCTGCCCTCTAGGGATAAAATTAGCATACATTAACTCTGAGTACTCGTGTGTTAACAGTTAACAGAAGCACTTAATTCTCACACTCTTATCAATAATTATCAGCCATCATACACATGGATGACTATTTCCAGTATATGCTCTTTAATGGCAGCAGAATAGTATGATAACTAACCTACAAATGTGTACCTGTTTATCATCTGGTCTGTTTTGGATGATTTGTTTTTGGGCCTTTGAGTGGTTCAGAACACACTAATATGCATTAATGCCCAGTCAGACAATGGGGTTGATTTACTAAAACTGGAGAGTGCA